TATACTTGCGTAGATTTATCTCAGCATCTGTCAGTTTTGCAGTGAAATTTTCTCCCGTGAGCTTCTCGGTATTGCGCTGATCTCCGGCGGAGAAAAGCTCACAGAATTCTGGCGGATGCGGAGGGGAGCTCACGAGACTTTTGTTACATGCGACGAAAAGCTCACCTTTACAAACCGATCTAACATTATTTCGTCGCAGCTCTCGATATTTTATCGAACTCTATTCTATCAAAGATATTTATTTCACCGCCATTTATTTGAACCCAATTTTATTAAAGCCGTTTAGTAGAACGCCGTTTTATGGAACATCATGGTTTGTGGCCAGATCGTTTCTCGTCTTTGTAAATAGTGTTTTTTCGTTGCATCCCAAGAATAAACATATTGTCACGAATGACAACTGATGAGGCGGTTAATAACTTTAGAAACTAAACGTTTAATCGGGTGAACAGAACAGAAGGTTGGCGTCGCAGGCGTTGATGTCTGTGGAACAACAGGATTGAGACTGACTGCGGCTCGCCACGCCGAGTCCCTTATGTACACGCATGGGCTTCTGGAACAATCGGCGTAGAAGGTTCGGCGGTAGGATCAGCTAACCTCGCACCAGGGTTCTAGAACTTACCAGAACGCGGCATTAAAGAAACAATAAAAAAGTGCGTCCGTTACCAGGCATCAAACCGCGGCCATTTGCGTCGAAGGTAAGCCCGGTAACCGTTAGGCCACGGGCGCACTGCCTACTTAGCCAGCTGCACACGTGGCAATATTATGTTCCGTTTTTCTTTTGCTTCGTAATAAACAATTACCTCATTTGGCGCCTGGGCCTAAGACGGACTTGATACTTTTCGGGAGGTCAGGGGAAGTCGGGTGCCGAGACGGAGGTCCAAGGTTGCTGCTGTTCGTAGTACTCAACTTGGAGGCAGTGTCCTGTCTCCGTGTAAAAGGTAACTTTAATAAAAAATGAGTTCCCCACATTTTTAATTATTCGCATTCCGCAAATCTGTGGATTCGTCTGCCTCTTCCCCATTTTTCTTAGAAAGTAAGCTATTTTTCTGGGACTGAACAAAAAACCCTGGTTTTACAACTATACGAACACGCAAAAAACGCAGAATGAGCGGTGAGCAAAGTGTGGACGTGAGTTTTAAATATAAACACCGCAGTGCGAACAATGACGAGAATATTAAATTTTAAATGTTGAATAAATTATTTCGTAAATGCGCTTTTCCCCGCCTTTGTCGGTTTTGCGGTGAGCATTTCACCGGCGAGCTTCTCTCCGGTGAGCTTTTCAACGCCGGCTTTTCTCCAGTGAGATTTTCTTGGCCGCCCAACAGTGACAGATGACCAAGGGCTCATCGCAGCCAAGACGTGAAATCGACGAACACCATAATAAAAGGTGTGCGGGTTCTTGTCTAATACATTCGCTTCTGTTTCATAAAATACTGAATGAAGAATGTGTTGGTTCGGGTCAAACGAAGAATCTTCAACGCCAGACTTTCACAACTTCCAAATAGAAACGTGTGACGCGCTACTACCAAAAAGCTTGTTCTGTTTCTAGCTTCACTGAAGAAATTTTCGCAATGTTTGTTTTATTACGGTAGAAATCAGCCTCCACAAGCTGATATGCAAAGCGAATGTTGAAATTAAGACAAAATCGACGAACTCACGTATGTTTCTTCTGCATTTAATATATGTAAATATTTTAAATCCATCTCCACCGAATATTTCAAATCGACAAATCAAATCACCTCTCCTACTTCGAACAGAAAGAAGTGGTAAGACAATATCGACCCTTTGACGCTTCGGTTGCTTTCGTCTGCCTGCATTTGGTAACTTCAGGACTCACGCAAGGACCACTTGAAGCTTGAAATCTTTCACTCCCATTTTCGTGACCCAAAACGCCAACAAAGAACGGAACATCCTCCCCCAAGGACGCCGCTCGGGCGATGGGCAACATACTACTCACTATCGCGATAACGCGCAAAAGATCTTCGCCCGAAAACTAAAAATAAAAAATAAAAATGAAAATAAAGCTTTGAGAGGAGCTCTCCCTCGAAATCCCGACCTTGAAATGCATCTTCAATGTCAACTCGACGACCTTGAAGATGCAAGTAGTCCGGGGCGCAAGAACACATTGCGCAATTTCAAGAGGTAGTATTAGCGACACGCTCATATATATGGCGCCAGCTGACAGCTCGATTTCTGGCATTTTGATGGGCCACAAACTTAGTTAAATTTTATCACAATGAGAATCTCTGGAAATAATATATTGTAAGAGATATATTCAAAAAGTCTTGGTCTTCAATATTGTGGCACCTGAATTTGTATTTGGGCCGTGGTTTATTTTGAAATGTTCATGAAGAACGGAACGAAAAAAGGGGGGCCTTTACAAGCAAGTGTAAGTTCCCCTTAAACAATTTTAACATTTAGATCGGGAAATGTAACGCCACAACGTTACTCAGTTTTTTTCTATCTTTCTAATAATACCATTCCCAGTTCAATCCGTTCGGTGGTTGCTGAGAAAAAAAATATCAAAAAGTTGCCATTGGAATTGAATAGGGCTTGGGAACTGCGATATCCTCTTAAAGGAACAAGAGAGGATGGCCGCGTATTTGGCGTTGCTAGCGCAAGCACCTTCAGTGACAGTTGACGTGTAAACAGTGTCGTACTGGACTACCTACGGAAACAGGGATAGTGATCTTCACGCCGACCTTCCGGCACCGAAATCCCTGGACTAGTTAATTTTAAGTTTGAAGATTAAGAAAATTGTTTTCTCAAAGTATGTATGCTGCTAATTGGAACAATAATGTTTCCACGTTCAAACGGTTAATTAGCGACGCGAAGCCGTTTGCGACCTGAAATTGTATGATTAGTTTTGTGGTGACATGTTAGCAACGCCCCTCCAGAAGAAGTTCACATTTGGTTACAAAGCACGCGGATATTTCCTCGATGTAAAACACCGTTCCCCTATTTGCATTTGTTTAAGCGAATTTCATGAGAAACAGTCGAAAATTGCTCAGGTACAAGTACCATCTCAATACATTGTTTTTCCTGAATGTTTCTAATTGCTTATACTTAGAGAATAACTGCTAGTTTTAGAGCAGATATTGGGTACTGTGTTGAAACAAATATTTTTTTCATTAAGGAGGGCGGAAAAATATTGGCCGAGTCTACATCCACGCGCGGGGACGTAGCCAAGTCGGGAGGAGATAAGGCTCCATCCACGCAAAAGATCACGTGACTTATAACATAAAGAGATAATTTGTTTTTATGTACATATTATGCTTTCTTACAAGTAAATATAGGATCTAAAAATAAAGAGGTTACATTTTATTGTTGTTTTAAAGTTAATATATCACGTGACTTTACAAATTCTTAGACAATTTATCAATGTTTCACTGTTTTCTAACACCGATAGGAAATATCATGCGTCATAAAAATAGTATCCGTAGATGTCTTTATATTTATGTTGTCCAGGAGTCACACACACGTGTGGGCAGCGTGCGTGCCATCCGTGCGTGTGGGCGTGCAGCCTGCAGCCACGTGGTGTGGGCTTGGTTGGCTTGGCGCGGCTGCGGCCTCTGGGGCTTTCGCCCTTGTGCACATCGCTGCTGAGGCGAGGCGGTGAGGCTTCGCCGTGTATGTGATTGGCTTAATTCGTTTAAGGCGTTGTAGTGTGAGCTTATCTGCATCGAAGGGGACAAGTGCGAGCACACGCTTCGTATGCTCTTGACTTGCGCGCACGCTCGCTATCTCACAAAGATTGTGCGAGAAGGGAAAGCATGCATTAGACTCAGTAATAACAAACCTATTGAGAGCATTCAATCGAGAAAACTGGGTAAAAGATTCCAGAAACAGTTTATTTCATGACAAATAAAACAGTAGCCGATGCACAGATGCCACTCATCCACGAGATCACCGATGAACACGAAGCCCTTCTTGCGGCAGAACTCCTGCAGGAGCCAGTTCACTTCTTTGTGCCGATCATTCTACGCCTGGATCACTGCACTCTGCCTACGCTGACACTCCAACGAAAAGAACCTGCTCTCCCAACTCGGAAGAAAAAGCGATTTGCGTCGTCGGATTGCCTTCCAAGATCTGAGCGGCCAGCCGACGGTACTTGTCAATGTACGCGCAGGCACAAACGCTGGTGTTTTTTGTGCCAAAATCGAGCAGGGCGTCAGACACTTCGAGAAGCAAAGCCTTGATCCTAATGTTACTAAACACCCGTACTTCGACAGCCACCCGGTTATTCGATGTGAAATACTGGGACAAGTATTTCACCATCGAACCCCCGGCAACCAAAACTGGAGGCATATCAGAAGCGCGACCATGTGAATACACAAAGTTTTCTTGACCAAGAAAACAATAAAAAAAAATTAAAAAAAAAACTTCAGATAAACCCGCTTGGGGATTGGGGAAGACCAGGCAGGAACAGCAGTCCGCGCACGGCAGGAACGCAAGGAGCAATGGCCACCGAGCACAAGGCAAAGAGACAAGACCGTAGGTTGATTGCTGCGTGGACGGAGAGAAGACGGAAAAAAAACTGCTTCCGTCCACGCAAAAAAGTGACGTGGGCGCCGGAAGTGACGTAGTGCGTGGATGGAGCCTTATCTCCTCCCGACATGGCTACATCCCCGCGCGTGGATGTAGACACTCCCAAAAATATTTCATTGCGAGTTCACGGTACTCTACTGCAATTGTGTACGCTTTCTTGTATTCATGTTGTAAATGCGTTTCTAGGCAAGTGTTACTTGCCAACATTATGGGGTTGCAAGAAATACAAAAGTTAATCGGAGTGCGACGCCGAATTATCACGATTCATGTAAATGCTTACGAAAAACGTTTGTTTTATAATCAACACTCAAGTGATTTATATATAGGAATTTCACACTGGTCATTTTAATGTGAGAACATTTGCGATACTTTTCTAATTAAATCAGAAAAGTAGATTCCACGTATATTAAACACAATCATTGGTAAGGACGTTTTTTATATTTTTGCTTTCCCTAACATATTCCTTTGTCTTGCTTCTTGCTGGAGGAAACAGTGTAAGATGTTACGACCTTGCGTTTTGTTGCAACCTTGGATCCTGGAGTTGTCTCTGTGTCTTGGCGATTTGTGTTCGGTGATACTGAAATCGCGTTACTTTTATTCTTGTCTTCCGCTGTCACCCCTGATGTTCCATATTGTGACGCTTCATCGCTAGGTAGCAAACTTTCTTTTTTCTCGGTTCTTTCGGTAGATGTTGTAGTTGTATTAAACATTTCTGTAACGTTATCGGTGACTTGTGCCTCCGTAGTCAATTCAGAATAGCCATCATGAGAGTGTTGACTGCAGTGTTTCTTTGCTGGAGATGTCTCAGGTGTGGCAGAGGGTGATCTGCAAAACCCACCGTTGCACTCTCCTTGTTTCTTGATGAGTCTTCCCATGCCGAGCCAGTACTGAAAATGTGTATTCCTATTTGTGATGTTAATGCAAATAATGCTTTTGACAAAGTTTGTAAACCTTCTTTTTACACCTACCCAACATGGCGTTCCTTCATAATATACTCCATACGCAAGGATTCCACAGAAGTATGTACAAAGGCTGACGGGGTTTTCCTGTGAAAATACAGAATTCACAACATAAAATCTAGCAATACGGTGAATAAAAACGGTGCACAATAGATAGCAGTAGTCTAAATTTTGCACGTGGCCGAATTTCCACACACTTCAAAAAATGTGCTGAACGAAAAGTGAAAAGGACTCTTTAACCTTTTTTGTATCTCAAAGGGTGGTTTTTATAAATTTCACATATATATATATATATATATATATATATATATAGAGAGAGAGAGAGAGAGAGAGAGAGAGAGAGAGAGAGAGAGATATATCAAGGTAATATATATTTAAGCTAAGTTAGTCCCTTTATTCACGACTTATCATAAAGAAACCCATAAAGCATTAAGCTGCACATATTTATATGATTGTCATATTTTTGTGTAAAAGTTTTCACTATTCTAGATACGAAAACAATTGGCTGCAGCCGCAAGCTCAATACATTTTGGCCGTTTTATTTATTACGAGCGTCGCTTAAAAACATTTTATGTAGAGATAAAAAAGAAGGCAGTGCGGACGGCTGCCTGTTTATTGAGAAGATTATAGTTCACCAATCACCCCAAAGTCTTCGTATGAGGAACGTAAGATAATAATATTGGCATATATTGGCTATATCTGGTCCTCTAGGCCACAATGTGAATTTGGAAAAGGTACGTTCTCCCAAAGTTATAAAATTAGGAAACAAGAACTTTGCTACTTGAGAGCGTGCGACAATGACAGGGAGAGTGCCACACCACCTTTGCGGCCGGTTGGCAGCGTTCCCAGCGACAGCGTCCACGTTATGCCTGACAGTGAAGGGCTGCCCGCTCCGGGTCTATGCGGAGAGCAAGCTGTCTGCTTCTTGCGCAGAGGTTGCGATGACGTCAGAACGACGCCGAGCTCTGATGGGCTTTGATTGAGAGGATAGTGGGTAGACCTGAATGCTAAATGCCTCTACCCCTCTTTTTTTTTATCAGCCATTTTAGAGCTCGGCGTTCTGACATCGTCGCAACCCCTCTATACAAGAAGCAGACTAACTTGCGCTCCGCATTTTATCGTGCACTCAGCGTCTTGGTCGCGTCGCACCACGTGGCTTCTTAGTGACTCGCGATTAGCGGCCCGTAACTGTGATTGTGGTCCGTCATAGGTGTGAGACAAAGTATACTAGTCGCATCGTACACGCATTATTCGTGTATTTTTTGTTTTGTTTTATATAACAAGAATAGGCTTTATTAAATATCAAGTTCGGCACTTCGTAACATAAACACGAATTTGCCACACAGACATTTTTTCGCTTACCGGTGATGGGTTGCAGATTGTCTCACACCTTTTAAACAACTTCTTTGCCAAAGAGCCAGTCGTGAAGTCAACTTGAAGTGAAAGGGTTAAAGTTGAAGTTAAGGTCGGAATAGATATGCATTGAAATTATATGCTGCCTCCTAAAAGTTCATTTTAAAACCATCGAATGAATATATCTTTTAGTCAATATAAATATATATATATATCAGGCACGTAGTCAGGGGGGCGGGGCGGCCACGGGGCCCAGGCCCTACCCCCCCCCCCCCCCTTATAGAGCACCTGCTATGGGAGGCCCTTCCCCCCCCCCCCCCCCCCCCCCCGCCCCGAAACAAAATCCTGGCTACGTGCCAGGATTATATATATATATATATATATATACATTGAATGAACCGGAAGAATATCTGTTCTAAATGGACAAAACTAAGAAAAATAATTCGTTTTTATTATTTAGAAAACATGCCTCATTCACGTCCGAAGTTTAGCATTTTTATTTTTTGGAATCCAAATTATGACAAGGTTTCATGCCATTTCTTAGCTTGTTGGCCTTCTGTTTATTTTACAGTCACGTAGTACATTACTCGAGCAGGGAGTTTAGGGCCACAAACAGCTACGTTACTTTAGTGTCATGACATCTGCGATAATATTTTGGGCTTATCGACTCTGGAATGGTGAGAATTGATATTTTTTCGATTGCGTGCATTCAAGAGACGCTCCGTCTCCTATATAACTAGTTCTGTTCTTTCGCGGCGTTCCACAGAGAGTCTTCGTGTTTAATATCTTTGCGTATCTCAGTTCCTTGCTTAATAATCCGGACTTTCACCAACTCGCCGACGCAATAACTTTCTGTTTCAGTTTCACGCCCGAGTAAGATATTTTTTGTGTGTCTGCACGTTTTCCAAAATTAGATTTCATATAATATGAGAAACATTATTACAACTATTTGTGAACTTAAAATAGAAAATGATATTGCCCATAAAATCAGGGCATTACGCCAAGACTTTGGTGTTCGTGATCACCTCTAACCATCCAAACGTAGCAACGTTTGTAGTTGGGTCTGTTTTTGTATATAGTATAGGACATACACAGCGCTGTGTCAGTGTCCTTCCTCTCCTTAGGGATTCGTTTATTTGGGATGCTTACTATTATTCGCACTACAAGAGCAACTTGGTATCTTGTCCTTTTATGTAAACCATAAATTACAGAAACTGCAGCAATAGCGGCAGAGGCTATATATTATATTCATATTTTCAATCAGCAATTATTGCCTTGCACTTTGAAGCTGATTCACAAAGTTCTTTTTTTTTTTTTATAGTACTAATTGGACCCTGCATCGAAAATCTGATAGGACATCGCTAAACTTGCATTTTTCTAATCATTTTTTTTTTGCGCCAGTGGAGTAAAAGCATATTTAGACAAAACAATATACAAATGCTTACGTGTTGTGATGAGAAGAAAGAAAACAGTGAAACCTTTAGTCATTTGCATAGCTGTGCTGTAAAAATTGGGTACTATACTGAAGCCGCTAGTGCGTTACTGACACCGCTAGTGGCGGTTTAGAAATAACTGTGCATAGCTAGCGTTTATTATTCTACATTTCATCATTCGCCTGTAAATTGACAACGTAGATTCCGCAGATGTTTGTTGCCTTGTTGTTGTTTTTTTCATGACAGATCCAGTTTTTACATAATAACCGTTGGAAAGAAAAAATACATGCAAAAGTATAGAACAATATACGTTCATCATACGTGTGTGTCGAAGTTTTCTACTGTATTTTGGGATAGTATTTTTTCACTTGTAAACGACATCGAAGTATATTTGTTGGTATGTACTTCGCAACGTCGAAACAATATGTTATCTCATTGCCTTGTACGTACGGCTTTCCACAGATGTATTTATTTTAATAATTGAAGCATCCACGACAAGAACCACTTTTGTTTGTTATGCACCGTTTTTTTTGCATGTTCACTTTAATGTTTCTGGTTTTATATTTCCTCTTTTTTGCGGTAGCTTAAAGGATATCGTCTTGACATTCATCAATATGCGTGTTACATTTTAAGATTTATTCAGGTAACAATTGTTTAAAACGTCTGTCAGGGAATTTCACGTATTTATTAACTTTTGCTTAAAAAACTCAAACATGGCGGTAGCACTCCTAATGTAAAAGAGAGCATTAGAGAAAGTCATATTCTTCTATATATATATCCTGACTATTTCCGGTAATATTTTGGTAAATCTGCATTTTTCGTTCCTTAGTAAAGAAATCATATTTACACAGGTGTGACGGCAGTTGAAACAACTATGTGGTAGTTTCCACACAAAACGTTCGTGCATGCATCATTGATTGCAGAAAACTCTAATTGATGGCACACTTACATATCAAGGACGATTCTGCAGAATAATTCTGCTCAGTGAAGTGTTGTCTATCTTGATTAGGTAATCACTCAGTTATAATTTCATCGATGTAACATAATTATAGTGTTTTATTTATAACACGTGCGATGCTGTATTTATTTGACAGCACCTACACTACAGTAAACATCGCTGTTCTAACTAGAATTCGGATAAATGCCTTTGCGCGAAAATGTAAATGGTAAGATTACATTCAATATTGAATAAAAAGTATTACTTTTCTATAACCACTTTTTCAGAAAAAACTTAAACATCGAAGCCGTACACACACACACACAAAAAAAACAACAAAAAACGTCGCTTTAGGATTAACGACACACACGCAACTAATCGTGCGCACGCAATTCCGAGGAAGGGTGTATTAAATATCGAAAAAAAAAAAAAAACTAAAGAGCACAAGTGCACTCTTAACAAAAAGCTAGTAGTATTTACTAGGTAGGAGCTAGTAACCACTTGTCACATATGCTACTATGCACTTAGTAACCTTAGGTAGTAACGGTCAATCTATTAACTGTTACTAGGTCAGGAAGATAGTAACTCTTACAGCCTCAAAGTAGAATCCATGTATTTTACAACCTGTGGCTAGTTAGTAACTTTCGCTACCTCCCGACGGAAGACAGGAAACGCAACTAGTCACGTGATTTTCGGTAGAAGAAAAAAAGGTGTGGGGTTATGCCACTTATTACCAGGTGCAGGCGCAACAGAAATTGAAACTGGAAATGAGTAAATGATGGTGGCGCAAGTCACCGTCCAATTAAACGTACTCAAAGAAGGACGCCGATTATTTATAGTTTATTTCAATTCTTCCACATTTCCAAGTAGACACATATGAACATGCACACTCTCATTTTTAGCGCACAATCGACGCAATGCAGTCAACACAAACACACGTTTACTTAATCACTCTAATCGGTAACTCACGGGCGGGCGATGAGCGACGATCGAACTCAGGAGGTTCCCCGCACAAGCTTTCGAGCTGAGACGCGTTAGCCCACTCGGCCACTTCCTCTCCGCTAACTTCCTTGACTGCCCTGAACTCTTTTACACTGACCATTTGAGTGCGCAAACTTGCCGTCGTGTATCAGCGCGTCAGTTCTTCACAGTCGCTAGGTCAGTTGCGCGACGAGGCAAACCGTATGCAAGCGAAGGGAACAAGCGGCCAAGGTGATGAGCGACGTTTCCTGGAAATTAAAAAACGAGCTACGCGACGGGTGACCGTGAGAAATTTTCGTCGCTCTTCGCTGTCTCCGTCGCTCGTCTCGTCGCTCGCTAAATCGATTACATGCGGTTCAGCATTTTGAACGAATGCGGTCGCCGTCAGCGAGAGAGTGCGTCCTTGCCGTCTCCCGCGTCGAGCGAAGACTGTAATTGACGGGGAGTACGACGGCAGCTGCAATCCTTTCGCGTGCTGTGCTACAAAGATGCATGAAAAACTTATACCGCGTGCAGCTTGCATCTTAATTTTTGTAGTATACTGACGAATGTGTTGTAATTGAGTTAATCAATCGCCACCAGGGTGCCCCTTTTCCTTTAATCGCCCTTGTGCGCGTGAATAAAGAAGTGCGTAGCAGCGTTCGTCGGGGCTGGACGTGTCCTTTTTCCTTCGGCGTGTCCGCTTGGCCGCGGGCCGCCGCTGCCCTCCACGCCATCGTCGTCGTACCGTAAGCCTTCCTGCGCAGATATACTAATGCAGTATAGCCCCTCAAACACTACATTCTGGCGACGAGGATGGGATAACTGAGATCGAGCTATCTCGACAGATTTCAAGATGTCGGCGTTCGCGAGCACAGCTCCTCCGCCATTCATGCCAATGCCGGGTGCCCCCGCGCTACCCTGGGCGATGTGGAAATTAATTTTTTTAAACCACTTAGATGCTATCGATGCCGACGCATTCACCCCGAGACGGAAACGGGCCCTGCTAATTGGAATGCTTGGCCAGGAGGGTCAACGGATCGTGTCCACCTTCAACCTAGCAGGAGCTGCCGTTAGCGCCGAGCTTACTGAATTCGACGTACTGCTCCAGTCATTACATCGACACTTCGGCTTTACTACCAACGTAGTTCTCGAACGCAAGAAATTCTTAACTCGGGTTCAGGTCCCAGGAGAAAGCGTATTGGAATTCCTTGGTGCTTTGCGTCACCTGGGCTCCTTTTGCAATTTCGGAGCGACTTTAGAAGATCGCATCGCCAAGATTTTTCTGGCTGGACTACGATCATCAGAGGTAGAAGATCGCTTAATCCGAGAGGCTGCGGGGGCTCAGCCACCAAGCCTCGAACGTGCTGTACTCCTTCCTCAGCAGTTCGAGCAGTCCTCTCGCGATTGCGATCAGTACCGCCAGCTATCAACAAATTTAAACTTGCGAGTACAGTCTTGTGTTGAGCGGGTCTTCGCGCCGCGGACGCAAGACAACGCCGCTCAACCGTCACCGTCATCAGGCCGTGTCCAAGACGGTGAGCGCCAGCAATTCGTTGCCTCCTCATCCCGAGCTGAAGGTTTCAATTTATCTCCGCACCACCAACCGCGCCCATCGGCTTGTGTTTGCGAGCGACGACCAGCACGTGACGCCCCTCCGGGAGCGCGTGCTTTCCGTTACGGTGCACCATTATGCGACTTTTGTGGCCGTCAACCCCACCCTCGGGACCGATGCCCCGCGTCGGGGGCTACGTGTTTTTCATGTGGCAAAGCCGGACACTTCGCCAACGTGTGTCGGAGTCGTTCACCTCCATCCGCCTGCGATCGGCGCCAGCTGGCCTTTCCCGCTGGGCGCGGCCGAGGATCCGGTCGCCGACTTCCGCCAAACGGAGGCAACCGAGCGCGGGCCCCCATCCATGGCATCATGACCTTCCCCGAGGAGGACGAGGACGAGGAGATCCTGTCCACTGTCTACACCGTCAGACCGGCCGGAAGTCCTTCGCAGCATGACCGTCACCGTAGCCTCAACTTCGTAGTCGACGTGGAGGTGAACAATTTTCCCATGTCCCTTCTGATTGACACTGGGTCCGAAGTCTCAATTCTCTCTGAAGCGACGTTTTCACGGCTCACGACCTCTAAAGAACTACAGTTAAGAAAACCGCCACGGACCCTCGTCCATTATCTGCGAGGGCAGATCCCCGTTCTGGGTTGTTTTTACGGACTTGTCAAATTTCAGGATTGGTCGGCGACTATTCTTTTTTATGTTGTTCGTGACGGCCGATCGCTCCTTGGCACCGATGCCGTGCGCGATCTGAAACTTATCCTTTCGGGCGCGTCTCTGACGTGTCGTATCGTTCATACAGGTGGCTCCCGTTCAACCATCCCGGGACATGGGACACCGGCTGGTGTTTCACAGCCAACGAGTCCCAGTCCATCAGGTTCTTCAGACGAGTCTCAGAGACCTTCGAAAGTATCTTCAGATCCATTGAACATGCCCAGTCCTCTAAATCGTTTTTCAAGTATCCCACATGAGCCATCTGTGCCAGGTGTATTTCCACCGAGGACACCAAGCACAGCTACGTCGAGGGACGTTTCCAAGCTTCCTGCAGGCTTCGAACATTTCGAAGATCTCTTTTCACCTGGTCTAGGTCTGGTAAAAAACCAAACCCATACGATCACCGTCCGTCGAAATGTGCCGCCAGTTCAAGCCAAGCTCCGTCGACTGCCGATCACCCTGCGTGACGTAGTAACGGCGGAGATCCTGAAGCTCGAGCAGCAGGGAGTTATCGAGCGCGTGAGTGCTTCGGAGTGGGTTTCGCCCATCGTGGTTGTTAAGAAGAAAGAGGGCGGCATCCGTATGTGTGTGGATCTCCGAGCGCCGAATAAGGCCATCGTTGTCGACTCTTTTCCGCTCCCACACATTGACGAGCTGTTGAACTCCTTAAGTGGAGCATCCCATTTTTCCAAGTTGGATCTCGCATCAGCATACTATCAGGTCCGGCTTGATCCTAAAAGCCGTGACCTTACAGCGTTCATCACTCATGAAGGCCTTTTTCGTTTCACACGAGTTTGTTTTGGCCTGGCTTCCGCGCCTGCAGCGTTCCAGAAGATCATGTCTAATATCCTCAAAGACTGCAAGGGCGTACAGTTTTACTTGGACGACG